AGCTCAAAGCAGCCTCTGTAACTGAAATTTACTTTAAGAGTTGGAGTCGTGTTCGTGCAGCAGTGTTTGTTTGGTCAGCGCAAACCACTTTGAGCTTTTTTTTTAAGTCTCAGGAGATTGTGGTCAGCGTTAGCACAGAAGTGATAAATCACTTTTTAACAGGAAGAAAATGGAGTTAGTGAGAATTTCTTTGGTCTGACATCTAAATAGAAAAGTACAGACTGCTAATTTATAGGAGCCGTATGTAATATTCACTCTGTCCAATCTTTCTGTCTGTGACACATGTAGCTAAATACTCATTACTGATGAAATCCACCTACTGTAGTTCAGCTAGAAAGCGTTTTTCGTATGCTTAATTTTGTATCTGCTTTCATTAAAAAAATGTGTGCAAATGTTTGTTTGTTTGTGAATTTTGTAATGAAATATGCCGCCAAGACATATTTCACCAACAAATAGACATCCCAAAAGTGAGACTCATTCTGCATTCTAATTCTAATCTGCTTTAAACTTTAAACTTACAAAACAGAAACAGATCCTAGTGACCTGTTTTCTGTGGACACATATAAAATATATAGATTCAATTTTAAAACAGTAGCTCAGTTGGTAGAGCATTGGCCTTTGGGCCTGAAGGTCGTGGGTTCGAGCCCACCGTAAGACCTACTTCACGACTCCCACTGATGACTGCTGTCGTTGTGTCCTTGGGCAAGACACTTAACCCCACTTTGCCCAAAAGCCCCAACTGAAAGATCTCAGCTCCTGTGGACTCACCACCTGCAGGAGGATCAGTGAGGGGCTGGTGCTATGTGTACTGGGTGCAGCTCTGACTGCCACCCCCCCGACCCAGAAATGGATTAAGGGGAAGAAAATGGATGGATGGATGGATGGATTCAATTTTAAATGAACAGTAGAATGATATGTGTTAAAAAAGTAATGTCAGTTTTTTTAGTCTCTGTAGCTAATTTGGTTTAGAATATTCAAGCAATATCACCAATCCTTATAACATCCATAACATCATGAGAAACATGATTTAAAAACTTGACAAGGTGTAAGGAAGATTATCTCACCTCATCAAGTTGTAAATATACACAGCATATGTATCATTCTGCACAAGAAACAGAAACAACAACTGTTCCTCCTGCTTGCCGCATAAATTAAGTGAGATATGCTATAATGCAATTAATCCTGTTGTATTAAACACGTTGATGAGTTGAGTTGAAGATTGTATTTCCTTGGTTTAAATGAGGAGCATGTGTTAGCCTGCTGATCATATTATCCGCTGCGGTTGAGCAGGGAGTCAATACCCCCTCAGTCAACATTTAACCTGTGAACACAAGAGAGAGGCAATAAACACAGGCTCTTAATGCATTTAAAGGCCTTATTAAAGTGGACTTAAATAGGATTAGCTTAGAGCAATAAAAAAAAAAAAAAAAGTAGCAACACAGAATACAAGAACAAACAGATGGAAGAATACCGGGAGCTACAATTGGAGATCCATATTGGCAAGAATTTACATGTCATATGGGATACTTGGTGCCAAAACATACTCTTTCCATTCCCAGATAATGATTTGAATAGTGCTCCATATGAGAAAATAAAGGCTTAGGAAATGTTGAAAACTGCTTTAAACTTGGTGCGTGAAGTCATCTTCCTTCCAGGTTTGAAGAAGCACGTAGTGACGACCGTGACTGCTGTGGCCTGGATGGTCGTTCCAGGTCCAGTCCCTGAGTGCAAATGTCACTGGGAGCGTTTGGTGGAGGCTTCATGTGTCCCAGAGCCAACGTCCCAGAGAAGGTATTTTGTGCGTGTGTCTGGGAAGAATAATGGATTGTTTTGGAAACAAACTCGGGCTGGATCAATGGTTTCCAGAGTTGGCGTCACTGTGACACATTGTTATTGAAGAATGATATCACACCAATGGTTTCACTTTGCAAATCATATTTAAGCCAAAGACCAATTTAATATTATTTATGAATTTATGAGCTTAAAACTTGGCAGAAATATTGATCTAATATTTGTATTTGCACATTTATTTTAAGGAGCTACAAGTTTGATCCTGTATTTGTCAAATCAAAATATCAAAGCAGGAGATCTCCCAATCACTCTGAGCCTAATGGTTTTCATCTTTAGTCTGGGTAAGATTACTTTTCCAATTACTTTTCCATTCTGATTTTAGACTATGATTTCTGTACGACTGTGCCCAATACTCTTCTATCCTACATTTCTTTTTTCATAATTAGTATCCATATATGCCCCTTACTTTTTACTATTACTATTTAGTAGCACTCTTCACAACATTGACATTTGTGCCGTTCTTCCTGTTTCTCTGAGAGTACAATTTTGATGAGGTTGTGGTGTTGTCAGTTATTTATTTATAGTGTTGGTTTGTCATGAGTGTTGACAGATCTGCTGATAACTGCTCACCGAGTACAGTGTGAAATGAACATTGACCCAATCTGCCTCTGTGTTTGGGAGTATTTTGATGATACGCTGCTTTTCATACCCACCATGGGCAGCATAATGTAGCAAGATAAATGCAATCAAGCTGTTAGTCGACATAGGTATTGAACAGACAAATACATCTGACACTTTAAAAATCCATTTCACGCTTCAATCCAAAATCCCTGGTTGGATTACTCTGCCGTGGACCAGTAACATATTACTCATAATACATATTTTTGCTATTATACATACAGATTTTTTTCTCATATTTTTTCCCTACAATAAATAGCTCAATAATACAGTATTAACAGGTTGATTATGATTCCACAATATTTTTTAAGAACAAAAGTAAAAGTTTTAACTGCACAGACACAAGACAGATTACAGACACAAATGGCCTACAGTGTACTTTTCCTTCTTGTTGGTAAAATGGTGTGTAAATAAGGCTATGGGGTCTTTCTCTGCAAATGGAATTCCGATTACTGTTGAGCTCTTGTTTGAGCCATTCGTTTGAACAGGAAATGGGGGTCAACTTGTTCGCATTATTCAAAACATCGACAGTGTGTTCCATTCTCTTTAAAGAAGACCGGTAGACAAATGTCATGTTAATTATGTTGAACACGTGGCTTAATGGGGTCAGTGCTGATTTTGTGCATGATTCCGGAGATTGTAAAGGTCCCAATGCAAATGAGAGACCCGTTTGTAATCAGCAGTCAGATATGGGAACAGAGCAAAGATGCCCGCAATCATACAAACACTGTATAATGTGGCATATCTGCATATATTGAGCCAACATCCAACATAGTTCTTTGTCTAAGCGGCATACATTTGAATATGAATGGTGAGCGCAAACAGCAGTGCAGTCCTTTTGACGCCTGTTTAGTCGCTTCACAGTATTTTATCACTGTTGATGTCAAGGGATGCGTGATGTCGTGGCTGAACGCTGGAATTAGAGACCAATGACCGATGAATAGAGCTTTACAAGGGAGAACATACTGTAGTCAACCTTTGTCTGAAGAATATTTGATAAAACATAAAACAAATTGAAAAGAAAAAGCGTCTCGATGTGATGTAGCAGTCGAATTGTAAGGGTAATGTGTTGGAGTTATTATCTCAGTTAAGAAATGCTAGTATATATGTGATGTGATTTTGATGTCCTGTTATTCAATGATTTTATGGGAGGATTTTCCCAAATTTTTAGGGAAGAACCGCCCTTTCCACTTTTTGAACAAAACTCTCTGGTCTAATTTGACGATCACGTATCACCAGAATGATTGACAATTGGGAGGATCAATAGTCTTGATGATCCACCTGGAAGTATAAATTCATCCTATGCACCTTTAGGTATTTCTTAGGTATACTTTGAAGCAACTGTGGTTAAAGTTATAACTCATCATTCTAACAATGCACCGTGGAGATAGCTTATTGGACGGTGTTCATTCCTCCATGCTGTATAATATCGCTTGCATTCTGTAACATCAAGAAAACATGTCTTCTGTCTGAATCAAAGACACGATCCCTGACTTTGTCATCTTCTTCACACCTGGACCGTAAGTGTTACGACATGAAGCTGTTGTGTTGTGAAGTAGACTAATGTTTGCGTGTCATTGTTGCTTCGACCAGTAGGCTGGACTAGGTTAATATTGTGAAAATCGGAGGGGTTAAAAAAATGTTTGTTACCAATATATATATATTAGTACTGGTTGACCTCAGCTGGGTCCTCTTCAAGACAAATGAAAAGACAGCCTAGAAAAGATAAATGCAACATAATGAAAAACCATCCTCCTATTTTGCGTCTAGAAGAGCTTCTGTAATTCAGGGATTGGCTCTGTGACATTGTCGACACAAGCACAATATACGTTCCGTCTCATTATTTAGTTCTTGCATTATGATTTACATTGATAAATAACTATATCAGCAGCTTGTCATTTTACAGATATGTCAGGCTTATAATAGAAAGTTTTAAGCTGTACAATTTAGCAGGACTTCGATAAGGCAAAACAATTTCAAAGCAATCAATATTCACCGTTTGTCACATATACTGTACAACTCAGAATAACAGGAACAGGAATTTTGTGAAAAAATATATATTTATTAAAAACCACATTCTACACAAAGAATGTAATACCAATATAATATATTACAAACTTCTGGTGTTATTTTAAATTGGCCAGGACATACAGTTCCACAAAATGAGCTTACATATTTTTCCAATAAAACTTTTTTTCCTAATATGCAACTTCAGACCTGGTGCAGTGATCAGTTTCTCAAGGAGCTCACAGACACATGCACAAGTACACTTCCACATTCCTTCCTGTGAGTGGTAAAGGTTGGTTCGATTATCGTGGATACATAACCTACTGTAAATGTTTGGAAAATCGACTTCAGAGAAACAGATGTGATGGTGAATTTCACAAAAGCAACCAACTGTAGGTCATACCATTTATTTAGCTTTACAAATTACATAAACATTTAAACAAGAGGTTTTAAAAAGGTTGATGCCCTGATGCCCACTCCCGTTGTCTTTGTTTTGGTCAGTCTTCAGAAGAATGTGTTTGAGTCTATAAACTGCTGATGCCTCTGAAGCCGCAGAAGTTCCAGCGTTTCTCTAAACTGGCTCCGACTCCGGTCAGGTCCTGTCTGAAGGTGCAGGGCAGGCGAGAGAGGAGCAGCTCCACTTCACTGCTGCTGATCTACAACATACACATGAAACCCCAATGAGCCAAAAGGACAATGCATTTGAAGTCATCACATTAAATTATTTATATTAATACAATATAACAGAGGTCGAGAACTTTTTTTTTAGCTGAGAGAGCCAAAAAAGTCTCCTAGATAGAAAATGTATTTCTGTGGGAGCCCTACACTGTGAATATGTGTGATTTTTTTCAAAAGAAGATGAACACATTTAGAGAGTAATAATAGTTTTAGAAGGTCATATTTTGTTCAATAAAATTTTTACACTGACAAAAACCAATACAGAAAATATTATTACTATTAATGGCTATGGATATTTGTCTGAGAGCCAGACACAAGCATCAAAAGAGCCACATCTGACTCCCAAGCCATAGGTTCCTGACCCCTGCAATATATTGTATTGAATTAATTACTCTTCTTTTACTTTTTACTTGCCTTTGATTTCATTGATTGAGCACATATTATAATTATTATATATACATGTATTTCTAAAGATGTTTTGTTTATTTATTTTTTCATTAAAACAACAGAAAACAAATACATTACTTTTGTCTAATGTTCGGCTTTCATCAGAGTTTGTGGGTGTGCGGTTTACAGGATGTGTAATAATATTTTGCATTCTTCCAATACCTAAAACCTTTGTCAGTATTTATCCAAAATACATTTAATTAAGAGAATATGTATATGTGTTTATATCTTCTGACTTTCAAATAAACGTTCCAACAAATGCCTGTTTTGCCTTTAATGCTACTTCTTAGTGCTAGGCAATATGGAAAAAGAAAAAAAATAAGATTTTGGTTTTCTCCTGGAGAAGTTTCCCTTTGTCATGTGGCGTATGCGGGATGCTGGGAGCAGATGCATCATGGCAGGAGCACACAATGGCACTTGTCTGTCCACAGCAGTGCATTTGAAGCTATTGGAGCTCTCACAGATCCACACAAAAGGGGCTGAAATTCTTTTATTCAATTTTTTAAAAACATTCACTTCTGTTATTGTGAAGGTTGTACAAGAAAACACACAAAAACCTACTGTTGTTGACGTAAGTCTACAACAGGGATTTGGTGAGCTCTCCACTGTTGAGAGACTGGTGTAGCATTAATAGAAGCTGTTACCTTGGAGTCCAAACGCTGCAGATAGGAGCAGATGTACTCAAGGCTGGCTCCAAACGGGTGAACGTGCAGAAATGTGCAGATGATTCCTGTCAACAAACAGAACACACAATGCATTAGACAGAAACACTTAAGTTATAGCAGCTGCCACCAACAGCAGGAAATCCCAGAGCAGAGTGTGTGTGTGTGTGTGTGTGTGTGTGTGAGTGTGAGTGTACCAGGAATAAGAACCGTGTCCTCGCCTCTCGAGACGACTTGTATTTGTGCAGTGAGATTTGAGCGATTTTGTTGATCACTTTGATGCTCTGTTATCACTCCATCAAAGCTGTGCTCCCTCTGCTCAACACATCAACAACACAGCTCAAAGAGAAGGTCTGAGGATTTCTGTCAAATCTTAACCTTTGCTTCTGAATCCATTTACTGCTGGGACAAAATAACTATAAATAGGAAACACAAATCTATGGTTTCACAGAATAATTCTAATACAACACACATACACACAACTTTCTAAAGTGTAGTAGTATGAGTTTGCTTCATTAAAACCCACCCACCCACTCAAGCTGTTCTCCTGTCTGTGCTTATTTATGATGAAAAACCAATAGATCTAAGACGTTGACAGCCCACACGTCTATAGAGTAGATGCTCCTCTCCCTGTTAACAGATGCCAAACTGACAGAGTCCTGAATATGGGGAGAGAAATCTGCTATATACTGTACAATCAATTGTACATCATTGTCACAGTGGTGATAATCGACTCTGCCTAGATCAGGAAGCGCAAAACAATTCTTAAGTAGTGCATTTCCAGGAAGAAATCACACAGCAGCAATAGGGAAAGGAAATGTGAAAAGAAGTGCAAAACCAAAAAGGCATGTGATCGGAATATTTATACGGGACGCAATCTATATGTAAACACTCAGTGAAACGAAGGCTTTCACTCAAATACAGAGCTTTGAGCTCACATGCAGCATGTGAACCGTGCAGAGAGGATCAGTCCAACAGGTGTTGTTAGGAATTTAAATATATATATATAACCCATGGAGTACATATGGGGAGAGGGGTTTATGTTGTTTCTGTTGTAGTAAACTACTACAGTATTCTTAATGTTTGCCAGCTTTGCCCAAATCATTGTTACCAAAGGGCAAAATCATATACATGGGGACCGAAGTAGCCTGGCCACATCCACACTCCGCTCAATCATCATTTCACTACATGTAATGTTTGGGCCTGTGTCCCGTCTTAGCGATTACAATCGGCTGAATTTCGACCGATCAATCAACGAGCGCGTTGTAGGTTGGTGCCGGTGATGTCAAGAGCTTGAGCCGAACGGGCAGGTTGTGGTTTGGCAGTGGCGAAGAATGTGAGTGTAGAGTATTCCTGTCTGGTTACTCTGGTTAGTCTGGAGCAAGAGGAATGTTTAGCAAATGTAATCGCTGGTAAAGATTGTGGCGCTACTCCCCACGGGCTCCGTTAGCAGCAAAAGAGATGGCCAGGGAAATATTCCAGTAGTGCCTTGGAGTTTTGTCTGCTTGTATTTCAGGCAGACGAAATTGTGTTAGCAAAAAGCGAAATATTTTTATATAATGTATCAGTAATATGTATGTATCATCATTTTCATTAAAGACACAGCATTTTTGTGACTCTGCATCTAATAAAAATAGACTTTCTCAATATGCAAATGTTGTAATGCAATGTAAAGTGATGTTACACAAAAGGAGCATATACCTCCTCTGTAGACCCTGGTATGGACAAAGATATTCATGTAATATGCTGTATTTAAGTATATGTATAAACAGTCGTTCACCAACTCATCAATAACAATGCGATTCATTACCCTGAAGTCAATATTCATGTTTATACAGCTGCACGTTTTGAGTGGTGGAGTGCCTGGTGGAAACCAACCCAGAGACATGGAGAAACATACAAACACAGGACCACACTGGGCATGTCACCTTCTTGCTGTGAGGTACGAGTGCTACATGAGTAGAACCTCTATGCCATCTTTAAATGTTAATGCTCTGCTGAAGATTGAGATTCAACAAGCGAAAAGCAAAAACCATGCAAAATACATCCACTGCCGTACCATGGAAAAGCCCCATAACACACACATTTATGGACTGTCGAATAAATAATTCACAAGTTTACGGTATAGAAACAATGCATAGTTTGAAATGTCTCACCGACAAGCAGGGCTTCTCTCTCGGACTGGACTGGACTCTGTGGACTCCTCTCTGTTGGAGCTTCTTTCTCCTGACTGCAGGACACAACTGTGGACGCCACGGCAGCTTCCTGCAACACACAGACCCACCGCTCATAAACACAGACACTGCTGCTGTCTTTGGTAAGAACTACAACTAATACACCTTTTGCTTTTGGCATCAGGCAATGTGGCTGACACACTATGCAGCGTGCAGTGAGGCCCCGACTCCACTGGCTGCGCAAAACGTACTACGTATCCGTCCAAACGTGTCCGTTTCATCTCTGTTTCCGTTATCTCCATGAGGGTGAATGGAAGTGGCTCCACTGCCCGTGACATGTGTCCGTATGACGCGCGTAGGGAGCAGTCCGTCCACGCAGGGTGCAACGGATGCAGACGGACGAAATAGAAACAATCATATTTATAATGTACGTCGACGCGTGTCTGGTCCATTTTCCATTGGTCATACAATGGAAAAATATATTTGCCACAATATTATACATGTATTGATTATGCTGTAGTCCTTGGTTATCAGTGTTTGTTAATGACAGTGATTATTAACAAATGTGTGTAATATATTATACAAACTTTACATACACCTCGCTCTCGTCACCGCTGCGCGCTCCCACACACACACACGCACATTACCCACAGAGCTACTGCACTTATGAGAGACATATGTCCAAAAAGTTCTTTTCTCTTTTCTCTCTCCCCTTTTTCCAATTGCTTTCAATAAGTTTTGCCTCATCCATCGCAACGTGCTTGATGCTTCAATATGCCGTGCTTTGCATAGATCACAGCCTCACAGGTGCTGATAAACGCACAACCAGAGCTGCGCGCTGCTGAAGCCGGTGTGGCCACTATTTCGTTTTACGGATGTCTGACGGGCAGCAGCCTACGCGCGTAAATGGAGACACGGCCGGTGGAGTCCAGCACTCAGAATGGTAATTAAACAACAAAAGAAGGCCCATTGCATGTAAGACAATCTGGGGTTAGAGGACAGTGGGGACGGCAGTTTCTGAGCTGGGAGCAGAGCCAGACTTCTCTCTCCAGGGACACTTCTTCTTGCTCAACCGTGGGAATCCCGAGGTCTTCTCAGGCTTTTTAAGAGACTTGAGAGACACTGTTTTTACACTGCAACCCCTGATAATTTAGTCCTCGTGTTTAGGTCAGTTATTTTAATAAACATGAAAATTCTATGGGCTCAATGTCACACGTGCTCAACAACTACACACACTGTAATGGCTTTTCCAAACTTGTACTTGTAAATGTGTAATTACTATTTGACACTTTTGTTGTAGATGGTTACATGGTATGTGAGCTCAATACTGACCAGTTCAGTTTTTGACAGATGATGTGAGTTATTCTGTTCTTTTTTTCTTTAACCTGTAATTGTTTTATATTGTGTGGATCATTCTAAGACACAAGATAACCTTTATTTGGTTCAACAGTGGGCAAATTTATAAAAGCAAATAATCAAATGTAGTTGATTTTTAAAAACATAGCTCTGTGCCCAAAATAAGTTTGAGTGCTCCTCAAACAAACATGAAGCACTCCTAATGTAGCACATTTTAACCTGAAGAGTTTAAGCAAGGCCACTTTCCGGTTGACCTTCAGCTTTCTGGGTTGAAGAGCTGTCCATCTATGAGACTTACACTAAATGCAGTAATAACATATTGGTTTAACTGGTCCAATGCATACTGTATATATGTCATTGTGTCTTCAATCAGACCACATGGTGACAGCAGCATTCTGAATGGCTGTGACTGTATGAATCTGTGGAGCAGAACTTACACTGGTTTGATCAGCGTTCTCCTCAGGGCCTCGCTCGTCTGCCAGCGACGTCTCCAGCTGCGGCGCATTAGAAACACATGAGCCAGAATGAAACAAGCTAACTCCTAATTTTGACAGACAACATGGAAACGTTTATTTATGCTGAGAAGAAAGGGAAAAGTCACAGGGACAGCAGTCTGAGTCTCCAGACACTGCAGCCTGTACATGATTATTATTGTGCCTTCTCCCAGTGGGACATCCCAGAAATATCTCCCCTGGGTGTTCACAAATTCCCCAGTGCAGCCATTTCAGCTGACTTCCAAACTTCCAAAACATACAACTTTGTAAAGAAGAAATATTACACATTATTTTTAACCATTAACATGAAAATGGGACTATTTACTTTGTCATTTAGGGTTTTAGAATGTGCAATATCTCAAGTTGAAAATGAAAAAAGTACTGGAGAAAAGCTATTTCCAAATGCTACCACCAGGGGATTTTTTTGTTATTTTCCAAGTTTGAAAATTGGCAGCAGTTACTTGATTGGATAGAACATAATTGCACTTAATTTATGGTGACTGCTTTTGTTTTAAAGCAGAGTGACTTGTTTGTCGCAGAAGTTTCTAGTATTAGCTTGGATGGATCTATTTAATGATAAAGAGACATAGTTAAAAGTTCGATAAAGTACATTTTCCTCTCCTTTAAATGCCACTATTGATCCAAGTCCCTCACCTGCATTCCTTCTGTATTTTTCAGACTTTTCAGATTCTGCAGACCGTCCTTCAGTGTTTGGACTTCTTTTTTCAGCTGGTGTTTGTCGTCCAAACTCTTCTCCAGATCAGACTCCCGCTGTTTCAACTCTTCACGCATTTTAAGGAGTTGCTGAAACAATAGAACAAATAGTTGAAAGTGGCTCTTTGTGAAACAGAATCAATAATACATTTCTGATCTTTTATTATCTTTTTCCCCACACAGAACAAGTAGGGCTTTATTTTAACCAAAGAAAGAAGTGTGCAATTCTGAATGAAAAAATACACTAGATATACACTACAATAGATGTCTTTGAATGCAGTCAAAATTGCCATAATTGCCTTTTCCAGATGTCAATAGCTTTGAATTCGTTCCCAACTATCTTTGATCAGTGTAAAACAATAACACAACATTCCTGTTCAATTAAAGCTTTCTAACAAAGAAATTGCTTTCTTATAACTGGTCTGCATTTTAAATTCTGTGCTCAAAACAAACCCAGACAGCAGCACTGCTCGGATAGATTTTTGAGCATCAGATCATGAATAAATGACAGCTGAGATTTTTAAAAGTTGGCAGAGAAAACTTAGTGCGTTCACCAGTGACCCTGTTTTTTGTGTGGTAACTCTGGCTCAAATAGAAAGCTGAAACATCTTAAAACTCTTCAGAATACCGTCGGCCGTCATGTTAATTTACTACAACCAAGTGTGGAGTGAATGAATAATGAATCCTAAGCAGGGTGTGTGTAAACTGGTAACCATATTCATACTAAGCCTGTATGTGCAAACAGGGGGCACATGTTGCAGCTCTTCTGGTTCTCAGTATTACGTTGCAGGTATAAGGCCGATAGGCAGTGATCAAACCAGAAAGATTTTGCCATTGAAGCATAAATAGGAGACTTATGAGTCTCAGGTTACACATGCATATGCTCAGGAAGACTGGCTCCTGCTCTGACAATGTTAAATCCAGGTTAATCTGTTTAGCTGTGCAGGCATAAAACTTGTTCATGAATTGTGATTATTTATCTATTTAATTCCTTCTATGATTGTTGCTATCTCAGTTTTTTTAAACACTATGAGTATGAACTTCTAGTTGGAAGAGGAGGGGGAGGATCATTATTGTGCTAACACAATAATTTCCCCAGCCCTATAAAACGTAACCACAGTTTCACAGTAGAGTTTTGTTACAGTCCACCACTCCTGAAAGCTGGCATATTGATTTGATCCTGACCCTTTACATTATTGGATTTTTTTCCCTATCCAATTAGAAAGAAAAAATTGACATAGTGTCGTCAGTGTCATCTTTGCATATAACTCTTTAAAGGTTTGCTCAACCATTTGGTGGATCACTTTCTCAGTCATTATATCTACTTGAAGCATGTTTGTATATGTATTGTGGATGTGGAAAGACAATGAATAGATAGTAGGAAGATATAATGCTCGTATCATGGTGAATGTTGAGTAAATGTACCGTCTGCATGCCCTGGAGCGCCTGCTGGAGGAAGCTGAGCTGCTGTGAGTGAGTGCTTTCCTCCTCACTCCTCTGTGGCTGGTTCTTGTTCTGTTCTTGTTTGAGGAGCTCCACCTCGTTCCTGTAGGCATCCAGCTGACAGCGCAAAGAGTCATTCTCCTCCTTCAAGGCTTCGGCTTGAGACACGGCTGCACACAAGACAATAGCAGAACATAGAAAACATGAACACACTTTTGAAATGTCACTTGATGGATGGCCCAATAAAAATTAAAGCTGCACTAACTGACTTTATTTTTGTATTCATTACTAAAATGCTATCCATGTCCATGCAGTGCATTGGGATATACGTCCTTTTGAAGAAAAAGTAGAGCAGATTTGTGCTGGCGTGACATTATATTTTAGATCGAGTTTTGATGAAACAAGGAAGAGAATGTGTTTCGGGTCGCAGATTGTGACCAATCACAGCGGACCACTGGCCCCCACTTTCGTGAGAAATCTACAGGTCTGTTAGCATAGACGGCTGAGTTAGCACAAGCCGAGGAGCTAATCTGAATCTTCCTCGTCTTTGTCACTGGTTACTGCTTACACAGCAAAACAGCCATCCAAAAGAAAGTCCCGTTCCTCCGCGCTTCCCGTTTCTATCGTTCTATGGTCACGCCATCCACGTGCAAATCCATATCCATGGATTTATCCATATTGGGAGACGCTAGCTCCGTCAACAACAGTGAGTGTGTGTGGGGGCGATAGCTTCGTGGGTGCAGGGAGGGGAGCAGAAAGAGCGAGGCCACCAGTCCGCGGCTTCAAAATCCCAAAGTCAGTTAGTGCAGCTTTAACTAGTCCAACATAATTTCTATTTTCAACATATTTGAGGTTTGATTTTCCAGCTCAAGGATGAAATCAAAACAAATAATAGCAAAAACCGTTTTATTTTTTCCCAGGTGTTTACAAACAAAACAAATAAATTAATAACTCTAAAAGTAGCTAACAATGGCATTAAAATGCAGCAGCGGTCACAGCTGCAGAGATGGAACAGCTGCTGGGTGGAGGAGGACGGGTGGAGTAGCCGCTCGGTTCAGACCATTTTCTCTGCTCTAGTCCAAAGTCAGATACTGAATGCTTTGTTTGATAAAAAAAAAAAAAGCATTCCTTCAGTGGATTATAACCTGATCTGCTTGTTTCGGACCATTAATCCTTTCTGCTCTGGTCTAAACCAGCGCAAAACCATGAACACTGTACTGCAGCAACATCTCAGGTAGAAAAAAAAAAAAAAAAACAATAACTATTACTACAATAACAATTATAAGGCACAAAAAACAACTGTTTCAGAGCTACTTAGGACTTGCTGCCGTTTCCAGTGCATTCAAAAGTAAAAAAAGGCCGAATATGAAATGATCAATTCATTATCCATCAAGTATAATTTTGATATCAATAAAGTCTCTCAACAAAAGCGAGTGATAATCCCAGTGTATTCTCTCTTCTGGACATGATCTGAACTTGTGAGCTCAGGGAGTGAGGGAGGATTCATGCCTTTTATCGGCTCTTCTTCCTCCTGTGGGCTGTAAGAGCAACTCTGTGGGAAAGTGGGGACTGGACTGAGGAGATAAGCCTTCTCAAGAACTGTAATGCTGTCTGTTACAAAAAAACACAATTTCAATCTACAGTATATACATGTGTATTCATTATTTTCCCTGCTAAATTCCATACTGAAAGCTGATTTATTGATTGTTTTTGTATCCAATCAGAAACAAAATGTCGACATGGTGTAGTTACTTTTTTTTCAGATGCGTGTGTTTTTGGGTGGTATCCCAGCTTTTAGAAAAGTCAAAAAGAGAGGACCACTCTTGCTCAGTCAAATCAGTGACGTACATATCTTTTTTCTTATAATCAAGCAAAAGATAACAGTTTTCTGATAAGATGAAGACAGCATGTTGAAGTTTGATATGTTCACAAAGTTGTTTTACAAGACTTTCTACTCAAGTAACATATAGAATGTAGTAGTAATAGTAATAACAATGTTTTTTGGGTTCAAATTAAGGTTACTACAAGTGGTTAGTCACAGAGCCCTGAATGCAAAAAATATATAAACATATTTTGCATTGGGAAGACATAATTTACATACTGTCAACTGATACAATTGGGGTCAAGATACAAACAGCCGTGAACTGCAGAGATGCTGACTAAAGATCAAAGTCCCGCCCCCTTTGAAACATGTGGGTATAGCCAGTGATGGGAATAACGGCGTTACTAGTAACGGCGTTACTAACGCCGTTACTTTTTTCAGTAACGAGTAATCTAACTAATTACTTTGACAGTAACTATAACGCCGTTATCATTTCCGACATCCCGTTACTGCGCGTTACTCAAGACGCACAATGAACGTGTTGTCATGAGAGAAGGGAGGATGAGAAAACCTCTCAGCAATTATTGGCTGATGTAAAACATATTTCCTTTACAATCCACATGTCTACAGTTGAGAGGATGGCTCATAAATTGTGTTTTTGAAACAAATATGGGTCTTAATCGCGCTCAACCACGGCTTGTATCACCGTGAGGTCAGCCACAGAGTAGCGCGTGTGAGCGCAGAAGTCGGCTGCATACAATTCCATCGATAAGCTCCTTGCTCTTCCTGGTTTATCTGCTAAGGACAGCAACAGGTTTGGCTAACATACATATAACACATTTTTACATAATCTAAAATGCACATAGGGTAATTTTTCAATTACTATAGGAATGATAAGAAAGAGAGGTGAAGTGTAAGACGGTTGATTTTAGAAATTGGATGCACTCGGCTGCCGCTAGCAAACACAGGAGTTTATGGAGGACATACGCGTTTTGTTTTACTTTTTAAAACTCATTGGACTCATTTCCAAATGGAGGATTACATATCTACGCTCAAACCATTAACTGGATTTAAACAAGGAACTGGTCTGAACCGAAGTGGACTGTGCAGGTCATTTATAAGGTATATCTATAAGGTAAAACCCATAACTCATAGTTTTGCGTTTTGTATGAACAAACAATGCGGGCATAAAACATATTTTGCTGTAGCCAAACAAATTGTCCACTTGATTTATATGATTTATATGTTGTATATGTTCATCTGATTGGACTGAAGTCAGTGCTTCACCAGCCTCACCGCTCGTCACCGGTGTTTCCACATTCACAGTGGCGGGTGTTGGTGTTTAGTGCTTACAGCACAAAGAGAGATGAAGAGTGAACAGGACTTCAGCAGCAAAACAGCCTTTTCTAGATGGAAATATTGGCACTGTTAAAGGTAAAAATGCGCACGTCGGGTGCACATTATGTTCCAGAACAAAACGAAAAAGTAACGCAATAGTTACTTTTACTGGTAACTAGTTACTTTTATAGTGGAGTAACTCCATTAGTAACTCAGTTACTTTTTGGGAGAAGTAACTAGTAACTATAACTAATTACTTTTTCAAAGTAACGTGCCCAACACTGGGTATAGCTGCGTCTTCCCCCAGAGAACATGTCAGCTGCTGAGAGGCTGAATATAGCAGTCTCTCCAGCGTGTTGGCAGTTTGTGAACCCCTGGAGTTGGTGATGAGTTTATGGGTTGTCATGTCAACACCAGTGCTTAGCTGTTAGAATCTGCATGTGCTGAATGTGCACATGAAGCACAGACCTGAGTCCTCGGAGAGTTTGCTGCTGGGGGGATCTTCCATGTCATCATCAGACATCTCCATCTCTTCCTCGCGCCTTATGCCCATGAGCAGCTCATTGTGCATGTTTCGGATCTCCTGATAAGAAACAACAGAAATAAACTGTTAGATATGTGGTCTGAAAAAAAGAAAATTAAAGCCAGTGAAATGATGCCATAAAACTTCAGAGGAGCCGAAAGCAACCGAAAGAGTAAATACAATATATCTGCTAGCTGACATTATCAAGCTGAGCCCCTGGCAGAGGTCAAGTACACACAAGCGTCTGCTTTCTGTTGGGTACTGTGACACACACACACACACACACACACACACACGCACACACACACAAACAACAACAACAACAATGCTCGAAGGGGCGTCTCTTGAATGATGGTGGTTCAGGAATGCAGTCAGTCAACATGACAGAGGGATTGTCCATTTGTCAGAGTGAAAACAGGCTGTCTGATGATAAACTACGTGCTCCATCTCTGCTCTTTGAACAACTGCCTAAACCATGGTCATCAATGTAAAGACACAACATCTAATGCGTCTAAAGCAGCGGTACCTAACTTTCAAACTTTATTTGATTTTTGGTCTGTGGAACATCTTCAAATCAGCTTTCACCGACAGAAAAGGTGAAAAGGCAGGGACCATCTTTGCTCAGCTTAGTTCTTCCCAGGATTGTATTTGTTCTCTTAATGTTAATAAAAACAAACTCTTTATGTTAGAACAAACCTCTGAGCCAGTCTGTAGCTTAGGTGCCAAACTGTCCTTGTGTCCTTCGGTAAGACACTGTACTTTATTACTTTCCTAATGCCATAATTTAAATATAAGTACTTTAAATACAAAATAATGACAATTAGTTTCTTCATAACTTTCCTTTTCTAAATAGTTGTCTCCAAATGAACTCAACTTCTGTTTTAATCAGAAACAAAGAGATGCAGTTTTGCCCAGACCTCTCCTTGTCACATTATCTGACATCTTTAGTCAACCAACAATTTATTTGGTCAAGATCCGCCCCAGTGAGAATGCAAAATTAGATCTTTTTACAACCTGATTGTTACAATCTCAGCATCCTCCTCAAAGTCTGGTAAGGAGTAATTGGAACAGAGCACAAGCCCAATAAACATTAAACTAAATAATAACGTATTTGCTTGGAAGCAAGTAAGGTGCCACAATGTCATGTAGAACGTTAGTGCAAATACAACATTTACCTACCTTGTGTAATAATCAAGTTGTGCGTACAGAATACAGTTTTGTACAAAGTTTTAGGGAACTTACCAATCAGTTAAGAACCTATCAGATCCAAAAGACCAAGGGAAAAAGCCTCCACAATTTCATGCTGTGACTAACTTGTTATACTGTTTTATCTCTGCTCTCCACAGACTCACCAAGGTTGTATCTTGTCACCATAAAAGGCAGTGGAAGAGGCATATTTTATATAAGAAAATATCCTCCCAATGTTTGTATTTAGTGTTTTAATACACTGTAATTTATAAATATATTATTTAATGTAATCAATGTTCACTTCAAAAACTGTAGATAAAAAAACAATCAGACTAATTGTCTAGTGTTTACATAGATATTACTAACCTGTACTTGCTTGCGCCAAACATCCAGATTCTTGCGCTGAGCTTTGGTGAAATGGTCCCATGCCTTTTGTTTGGAAGCGGCTTGGAATACAGACACAATCTGTTCAACTGTGGAGGTGCAGGAGACAGAGGCAGGTGGGAAGGGCAGAGTGTGAGAGACTGGAGTCAACAACGCAACCTTTGTTCATGTGTGTGTCAAACCATTGTGTGTGCAGTGAAACTCACCATCTCACCTCTGAACGTCCAGGCGCATAACAATACCATAACTAACTTCACAGTAATGGGTAAAGTACGTGTTTTAGCTTTATAAGTGCCATAACATATGTTTACTAACCTGAAAGACACAGCTTTTAATAGAAGACATGGACATTACCAACTCTTCTGGTGTAATTTGAACAGAACAAGTTGACATGACATGCAAGAAAGTATGCATGAATGTTACTGTACATGGGCGGACTTTCCCAGGTCTAGTAGAACTACTGTATCAAGTGGTTTCAAAACAATCCATGGGCAATCACTACCTTGAAATATGTATGGAAGTAAGAGATATGGGTAATCCATTGGGAGCATGAGCACAGGTCATATGGAATCTGGTGGAAGTTACAATTTGTATTTGAATTTATGTTATTATCATGCATCGGCCTGGACAAAATGAACCAAGCTAAGCAGGCAAAATAATTTAACAGTGATATTCCGGTTAAATCTGATTTTCCTCATCAGTTAAAAAATCATATCATCAATCATGTCACTTGGGTATTGAAGTCAGATGCTGCTGTAATGATGCTACTGAATATATTGGCCTAAGTGATCAAAAAGAACAAACACATGAAGCAAAACACAATGTCTGATTTCATCTCACTGATTGTGTCAATTTTAAGTGGCACATCTAGCATAATAACAATAAACAAAGGATTTACGGCTTCAATGATGCCTTCAGGATGTTTGTGTTGTATTTAACATGCATGTGGAGTGGATCAGGATTTAAAATGCCTTGGGCTGTGCAGCTGTCAAAGGTTTGAAAGAAGTTTGTTTTACCTAGTACATCTTTAATTTCAGAATGTCAAGTTTAGAGTAAGATTTCAATTAATTGAGAAACCGTCCTTCTGATTTAAGCTCTTGAGGGCAGGGCTTCGTTTTTAATAGTTACTGGAATGTCTTAGGAATATTTCAGGTTAGCCCTCTGATGCTGCTATTTTATTACTTTGAATGTCCGGGGAAAAAAATAAATAAAAATAGGACAATTTACAGATCTCTACCATTGAATTATAGAGCAGTACAATTTACCATCATGATTTCTGATTTCTGAATTACGGAAAATATGTTTTATCCACTGTTCTGATCTTCATACAGTACCTAACAGTGGATCATATTATAACAGTGGTTTAACATGTACACTTTTCACCCAAGTGGACTTACCATAATTTGTTCAACTCCAGCAATTTACAAGTGAACTCTCTGCATACTATAAGATGATTTAACTGAAATACTCACGTGTTGCAATTAACAAGCCCCTGATGACAAGATCTACCTTGTTGCAAAAGATGAATATTGGCACCTTTATGTGCACGAATAACTCACATTGGCCCAGTATACCGGCCAGAGCGCTCTTGAACTTGTCCTTGGCCTCTTCCATTTCCTTCTCGTGCTGTGCTTTCTCGCTCATCAGTCGGCGGATGTGACTGTTGGACAGCTGGATCATGGAGTAGAAGTTGTTGGCGTTCCTACGATTGACTTCCCCTCGCTCCAGCCAGGTCACGAGCACCTGCACTGCCTCCGCAAAGCCCACATCATCTGACCCAGGAGAGACAGCGAGGTTACGGTGGATGGTGCACAGCAAAGGAAGAGTTTAAAAGATATGTTCTATAGAGCGGAAAAAATGTACTCTGCCAACTAGGCTGGAAACAATAATTACTATATCGACTTAGGGTTCAATAATTGATGGAAGGAACAATACATTTTGGGGTCATTACATTTACCACTCAAAGTATTTAAGAGTGATTGTAAATTAAATGTTTACATGATTTTCACACGTGCTCAAGTGAAGCACACATTTCATCACCATGTCTCCTGCCTTTGCCTAAACAAACAAAACAATGAAATATATGCACCCGAGGGACAGTATTTTTATATGCATATACATATATTGCATTGCGTTGAAATTACATACTGTAGGTTTCTTAAATCAGCTTTGCTTTTCCCTGTGCTCTTAAATACAACTGTTTTCCATGTCTCAATAGGATCCAGTGTATGTGTCTGCATGCCATCTTGACCAGACTGGAATTTCACTCCTCAATCGCAACGCACAGGTTTACAAGCATCTTGCTCAATCCAACTAAACCAGACTATAGGCGAGCAATATGGTTCTCACTATTGCTTTGTAAATGAAAAACAAGCCATGGCCTGTACAAACCTTTGATCTTGTCCCCCAGCAGGCTGCACTCGTGGTCTGAATAGTGGACGATGGGAGGAGGGGAAGGCGGTCTCATCCGGTCCTCTTCTACCTTGCGTCGGTGGCGCTCCTCCCGTGCCAACATCCGCTGAAAACATTCCCACTCGTACAAGTCGTCTCTGGCCTGAGCAAAGTCCACATGGAGACGCCCGCTGTCCTTCTTGTCGGTGCTGGAGCCTAGGCGGATGCGGTAACCTGTGGAGATCATCAGAAATATATGATGACTGTTAGAAAATACGTGCAAACAGCAACAATCCACTGTCAGATATCTGCAAGAAATGGCGGATTTGGATTTGCATACGTCTACATTATAATTGGAGATAGGATTACATTTGATATCAGCCTGGCTCACTTTGAACGGTATCGCTTGTCAATTCTAGAGTCTTCAGAACAGAAATCTGCCACATCATAAATGACTAAGCCCTAGCAAATGCATTTAAAGGAGCAATATGTAAAAAAGTGGTACTGCAGTCACAGTCAATATTTTGTAGTCCTCTCCCACTCTCCCTGACTCAGGTTGCCAGATTCACACCAAATCCAGCAGCAAACACAGGAAATTATTTTATCAGTTGTTTGTCCGTCTCCATTCACATGCCATGACAGCCGTGCTAATGCTGAATGAATGTTTTGATTCATGTTTTTTTATTATTATAATTTGGACATTTGAGATAAAAAACAAAAACAAAATAAAAGCAATGTAATTATACATAGTTTATGCAAAATAAATAAGAAATTGATGTCCAAAATAGGAGTGGGAAGAATGGATGTTGGAACGTATTTCTTCAGCGTATCAACATCAGGGTTTGCTCAAGAGGATATCACCTTTCAATTTTATTTATTCCCTATTTTTTAGACAAACATGTAAAAGTCCCACATCAAAAAGAGACTAACATTATTTTAATGGGGTACATGTGGTCTTAAATGATTATTTTTACAATTAAGCTATAATCTGAAAAAAAACGTCTTGACCTTCATCTTTTACCGTTTTTAGAGCAATCTGTCATAGAATGTGATAACATGCAATAAATACAAAAAGACATAGCCCGGGATCGAACCCGAGTTCCTGCATCGTAAGCGCATAGTTTAGACCACTAGGCCACCGATTCACACGAACAAAGACACCGTGAAGAACGGAGTCAAACTAGAAAATTCTGCATCACACGTAAACTTTTATCAGCTGTCTCAATTGTTCAAAGGCATCCCGATATAAATCCTTGTTTTAGTCTTTGTTTTGTCATTAATTATTTGAGAGTCATAACAAGAACTTTTTTAGTTCTGCGCCACATGTTATTTTACCAGTGAGATGAATGAGCCGCGCGGAGTTCTGGCAACCCGATCACGGACTTACATGACACTTCCTGATTGGCGAAACGGCGGAGGGTAGGACATCAAAATCAAAACAATAACAACTTTTACGGGTCGTAAAACTAATTTTGATGATCAAATATCTCGGCTGAACTACTGTTATCAGTTAAAGATGAATTCGAAAAGAGTATGATTTAATAACGCCTTTTGAAATATTCGGGTCATTTAATGATGACTTGACATGCAAATATTACATATTGCTCCTTTAAATATTATTACTTTATGAAAAATTCCTGAATGAATGCCAAGTGGTAAGTGTGACAGCAAAGTACATTTGTGATGGGAAATTAAAAGGGTGGAAAAAACAGTGCTTGTGCTAAAGCTCATCTCAATCTTCATTGATATATTCAATCAACTTCCAGATATAAAGTTTATTTTAAATCAACTCTGAAAGTTCACTGTGCCCGTAAAACCCTTGCCTATTTGGTCGGTTTGCAGTCTGCAGAGGACAAATGCAATAATTTCGGGTGATTTCCGCATTTCCAGGCCATGGTAAAAAAACAAATAACTGGGAGTAAGCAGCGTAAACAGAAAAATAAGTCAGAGTTCAGGGCTTCTGCTGTCAGCTTCAGGCTCCTAATCTAAAACTCCTTTAATATTTCATATGAGCTGGTAGTGGTGCCTGTGTGTGGGTGAGAGGCATATTATTTATGAGCAAACTAAACAGCTCAGTCATCTCTGTATAATAATATGGACTTCTCAGGGTTGTAAGAAACTAAACCACACATATTATTCATGCTTCATCTCGTTTGTTGTCTGGCACAAATATCTAACAAACAGGAATACTGGACCTCTAGAGATTGGCCAAAGTTCGAATCGTGGTCAAGGAGCACTAAACCGAATAACCCATGTTTAATAATACATAAGTATCACTCTAGTCATTGAGAGCAGCACAATAGTCGCATTTGTGCCTTGGTATGTTCTTGTCGACTGAAGTTCAAAGCACAATGCAACTTTTTGCAGGTTTTTGGCCTCATTCAAAACAATAGTGCATGAAAAAGTTCAAGTGCAGTGTCCTCTTGCATTAAACTAATCTAAATGAAATGTGAACGTATTTGAAGTCCCAGTTTTCATTCAGGAATTTGGAAAGGTGTGGTCTAAGAACCACTACTCTTCCCTATAGATCACAGTGTTGAGGGTAAAGGCGTTGCTCATTAATGTTAATAACATTACACATTTTTGTCACATACAGAACATGTTCATTTGAACATAAAACAAACATTTGTAGCAGATGTCGCCTACCAGACAAGTACAGCGCCTTGTCCACGGTGTACTCCTCGGCAAAGCGAATGTGGCAGAAGTTTTTCTTGCTTTTGCGGATGGCGATGATGGGTCCACATGGACCAAAGACATCCTCCACGGTCTGCTCAGTAGAGTTCTCTGGTAAACCGCCCACAAACACAGTCTTACACCCGGGAGGGCGATCCCTGATGGCCGGAGGAGGGAGGTCTGCAACATATGTAAAGAAAAAAAAGACACAATTTGACAGCACAAGAACTAGTGAGGACTCAGACATGCTTATGATCTTACTACTCATCCCTTTGTAAACATTACAAGTGATTTAAAATACTCGATGCACAGCTGGCTGGATTCGATCCCAGGAAATTTACAATGGTTTTAGAAGTATGCACATTTGCGCCTGGAGGTGGCACAGTGGCGGGGACCATGGATGGAAAATAGCATGATGCTAAATCTGATGTAGCCATCATTTTTATGTAACTACACACTGTCCCTTAATTAAACAAACTCCATTAATTCATTCATTTGAAGATTATACATGAAGAGCAGGCAACATGTCACCATGACAGAATCATCAAAATATAGTGCAAAGGTATATACATATAGGGCAGGGTAATAAGTAGATAGTTGTAAGTGACATTCTGAAGTTGCAGTATTGCACATTGCACATGATTGCAGTATATACTTATTTACAGATGAATGACATGTACAGGCTCAGCAGTTCTCATTGTACAGTCTGACAGCAGCAGGAAGGAAAGACCTGCGCAACCTCTCCTTCAAACAGTGAGGGTAAATAAGTCTGTCACTGAAACTGCTCTCCAGAGCAGACAGAGTGTCCTGTGTGACACTATTCATGTGAACCTCCCACCGACAATGTTCCAATCATTTCAGCCCTTTAGGGAGGTGAGAGAGAATCATTTTGAGGATTTAACTCTTGTCAAATAGTTTTACATGCAAATGCCCAAGGAGCTTTCTCCACTGATGAATTCTTCCATTAGATTCCCCACATCTCCAAAGTGATTTCTCTGACATCTGACATTAGATAGGTTTTCAGGCCAAAGGGAAAAGCAGGATAATCCCTTTAACATTCTCTTGCTCTGTCCTGGAGTCTGCTGCTGATCCACACGCTCAGAATAACTTTACGCCTGCAATACAATGTGCATCCCAATCAGATGTGTGCACAGAAAAAGAAAGCTTAGAACAACCACCAGAAAGCCCTTTGCAAAAAAATAGAACAATTTGTACATTTAAATGGTGAGATTAGTATTAAACAATATAACATACTTGGTACCATATTATTGCTTTGCATGGAATGTTTCAAAGAATGGGGTAAACATACCTTACATTGTGACTTTATTGCTCCGAAATATACAGAGTCAAGGCAATATAATGGCAAGTAATGGCTTCTTGAAAAGGCAGGGAATCTCATGGTCCCATACAAATAAATCAATAGGATACACGTTTTACAATACAAGACATCACTTTGTAATATTCATAAATATATTGAACATGATAGTTGGAAATACAATGTTAATTTTGAGAGAACATCTGAGCGATAGCATTTATTGATCCGTTATACCTGCAAGACTTGATATCAATCAATATTCTTTTTTTAAAGGAGACATAACACCACAACTTCTAACGAGTAATTCATGTATATTTGAGCCACTTATATTTATGCACAAGAAGCTATTGCTCTCCCAGGGCTCCTCTGACCATGACTGCCTTCGTACAGTAATTTTTTAGTCAAAGGGTGGCACGGTGGCTGAGTGGGTAGCACTCTCGCTTCTCAGCAAGAAAGTCCTGGGTTCAAATACCGGTCGAAACAGGGCCTTTCTGAGTGGAATTGGTATGTTCTCTCATGCCTGTGTAGGTTTCCTCAGGGTACTCCGGTTTCCCCCACCACTCCCCTGCCACTAAAAACAATAGGTCTGGCATGCGGCTCCAGTACTGGCGACACCGCTCCCACCTCTGTGTGGAATGAGAGACAAACGCCCACAATTGTAAACTCTGGTCTGTGAAAGGCGGTATATAAATAAAGATTACTTACTTACTTACATACTATTTTTGCTTGAAGGAAATAACTGCATTCTCAGCTTGAACTGAGGTGGAGCGGTGGCCGTCGGGATTGAATACAAAAGTTTGTGGACTCCTCTCTTTTATAGAATTGTTTAAGCCCAATATTGAGAACTACTACATCTTTAATAATGAGCAAAGGGACTCATAACTTTTTTTTTATAGCAGATAGAGCAACGTTAAGTTAACTATATAAAAGGAAGAAAGTAGCACAATCATAAAATTATCTTATGAAAACTAAAGTCATTACTACGGTCATTATCATATTAAATACACGTTTTTGCAAAGCATACCAATAAGGTAACACAGTGCTTTATAGTTAATTAAAAACAAGCCCACAAGCCCATTGACCTGTCAACCCAACCACCCAACAGACACACTCCAAACAACCCACATTTACAATTACATAAACATGGAGCATTTTCAATGTGTCTGGAGTGAAAATCCCAAACGAGATTCAGCTTCATAGTACTGATGCATCCGATGTCAATTTCAGCCGTTTTATTTCTATGATGTGCTTTTTACAAAGTAACCTTCAATAACACAAGAAAAAACATTTGATTCGTTTAGATTATTCATCCATCCGTCCATTTTCTTCCCCTCAATCCATTTCTGGGACGGGGACGGGGGGTGGCAGTCAGAGCTGCACCTGGTCCACAGAGCACCAGCCCCTCACTGATCCTCCTGCAGGTGGTGAGTCCACAGGAGCTGAGATCTTTCAGCAGGGGCTTAAGGCAAAGTGAGGTTAAGTGTTTCCCCAAGGACACAACAACAGCAGTCATCAGGGGAGTCGTGAAGTAGGTCTTGGGGTGGGCTCGAACCCACAACCTTCAGGCCCAAAGGCCAATGCTCTACCAACTGAGCTACTGTCGCCTCAATTAGATCATAATTATGTATATATTTTGAAACATGGGACACTGTACTCATAATAAAAAGTAAATATTTTACAGCAATGATATATCTACAATAGTCCCTCCCCTTGGCAAGATATCAACCAATAAGATTTTCTGGAGGAGAAACCTACAGTGGCTCTACAGAGGGGCGACAGTGACTCAGTTGGTAGAGCATTGAAGGTTGTGGGTTTGAGTCCACCACGAGACCTACTTCACGACTCCCACTGATGTCTGCTGTCACTGTATCCTTGCGCAAGACACTTAATTTCACTTTGCCTGAAGCCCCCGCTGAAAGTTCATGGCTATGCTCTCACAGACAGGATCAGTGAGGGGCTGACCCAGAAATGGACATGGGGAAGATAATCAATGATAAGGGCTGTGGTGACAGTTTTTGGAGTAATTACATTAAAACCAGCCGCAGCAAATACACGGACGTCAAAGGCCTTTTATCAATGCAGACAACCTTCTGACGCCATGCTGAGCTTTGTGAAGGTCCCTGCTGTCTGTCACACCCTTGTGTCTTTCCGTCTTGCATCTGTATGACCTGCACTTCCACCATTGTCTGTCTGTTCACACCCCATGCCACTGCCACCACAGGGGCGCAATGGCGCCGGCGCTTCCTGTGCGCCTCCTCACCGGTGGCCCCCAGTTTGATGCAAGTGGTTGTATGTCATATGCATATTTATATATTTATATATTCAGGCACACACCAGTATAGTTTGTATACACTAAAACAGCATGTCAAACTCAGGCTCGGGGGCCAAATCCAATTTTTAGTGGCCCCCTATCACAATTTTTTATCAATTACCATTGCAGCACTGATTGTTATGGGCGACCAAGGAGTGTTATTTCATCCTACATTCTTTACCCAACACATCATAAGAAGTTCAATAGTTAAACATAAGACAATGTGTTTAACTTTATATTTGGTCCAGTTTTAGGTAAATCCAAACAATAAACACATTTTGATTTGAGGAAAATCAAACCAGAAAATAACAGTGAAACTAATGTCAAATAATAAAGTAATGTCAAATTATCTTCATTATGAAAAAACATTCTTTCTGCCCCTGAACCAATTCCTATTTTTATAATTCTGCACCTGACCGCAATAAGTTTGAGACCCCTGCCCTAAAACATCATGCTGTGTTTATTCATTATATACTCATGCAGCATAATATTTAGAAAAAAAAAAAATAAAAACAATCCCTACGACGCATACAACTGATTATACCCAGTCACGTCCAGCTTAAAGAATACATTTTCCACTAATAAGGTTACATCATTTTTGGCCGTAAACTGCTTCTTGATAGACGTAACTCGTTCTAAAACTCTTAAAACGCGTGATTAAAAAAGAGGAAACTTGGATTCATGGACGCAGGCTCTTGTTTACAGACGTCCATGCCATTCCATAAATATAAATTATTGTTGGCTGTCACAGTAAGTATAAGTTGTGTAAAAAGCAGCAATTGAAGCAACAAATAATGTAATGGGAAAAAAATAATAGCTACAAACACAATACGACGTCATAGAGTTGCGCCGAACGGGCAGGTTGTAGTTGGCAGTGGCAAAAAATGCGATAGTCAAAAGTATTCTGGTCTGGTTCCATCAAGAAATTTGAAACCGGGAGCAAGATGAATGTTTAGCAAATGTTAATCGCTGGCAAAGATGTGTGGTGCTACTTCCCCACGGGGTCCTCCGTTAGCGGCAACGAAGATTGCTAGGCTAAATGCTAATGCTAACAAACACACTCGGGCGCATTACATACATCACAGTAAACTCAGATCCAATCGTTTCAAATCTGCAAAAGGAGTTAACCCCCCTCCCACCTGTTCACAAGGAGCTCAATGGAGCAAATTCCAGACCTTAGTACGAAATGTAATTTGTTCTAAGGTGTGGTATGACCAGGCTAAAATGGGACTGATCTCAATAAGATTTTAATTCTTACTAACAGATCAGCAGTGCGGGGTCTCCAAACCATGCAACAAAGATTGAGAATTAACTTCAAATGTGATGCCGATCTCACAGGACTTTAGAAACCAAAGCCGTCCCATTTACGCTGCTACTTTTCCTCCTCTTCAGAATCATTACATGTGTTTCTAGTGCAGGTTTTTATGTGAGTTCTATATGGACTCATCGTTTCAACATATTTTAACTGTGATGCTGTGAATAAAGACACCAGTTCTGTTGGAAACAGTTATTATTAAAGTGTTATTTAGCACAAAAGCAAAATGCAATAAGTGG